ATTGGCTCTTGTTCATATGGTATCTCTTGAAATGGTTGAATGTTAACCATTTCCTTTTGGTACAATGACTCTGTGTATTCCTTCCATCTTTTCTTATAGAAGAAGTAGGGAGAGAAAATAATGATGTATCCATCAAGGGTGATGGGAAAATTTAGAAACGGTTAAAGGTGGTGGCTGAGTAACACAAACATAATTAATGTCACTAAACTATATGATGGAGTCCTGGTCTGGTGCTGTGAGGCTAATACACTGGACTGCAAAGTCAGCTTGAACTGCAAAGTTGGCAGTTCAAGTTTACCAGCCACTCCTCGGAAACTCTATACAGGATCGCTATGGGTTGGAACCGACTTGACAGCACTCAACAACAACAACAACAAACTATATATGTTAAGACCGTAACAATGGCAAATTCTGATACCCATTATATGCTTGGAGTCCTGGTGTGGTGCTACAGGGTAAGCACTCAACCACAAGGTCAGTTTGAACCACAAGGTTGGTGGTTCAACTCAACAGACACTCCTCAGAATCCCTATACAGGACCACTGTGGGTCCGAATACTCAAGAGTACTTAACAATAAGAAAGTTATTAGATATCTCCAGTACTACTTGGATAGACTGATCGATAGATATATATTGAAGTTTTGAGGCAGGTGATGACTAGGCATCTTTCTCTTTTTTATTGTGTTAAGTTAAATTTCCGAGGAGTAGCCGGTGAGCTTGAACCACCGACCTTGTGGTTCAAACTGACTTTGCAGTCCAGTGCATTAACCCACAGAGCCACACCAGGACTCCTTTATAAAGGACAGCAAATTGGTGTTTAATCTAGGAATGTAGTCATGAACCTTGATTTCAATAATAGTCTGTATACCTTAAGTATTTATCCTCTTTAAGATGTTTGGACTTGGTTTTATTTGAAAACTGAAAAACAAGCAAACATTGTTGTTGTTAAGTCATTTCTGACCCATAGCGACCCTGTATAGAGTTTCCAGGGAGCAGCTGGT